CAAGGTGGCAGGCGCCTGTAATCCCAGCTACTCGGGAGGCTGAGGCAGGAGAATGGCGTAAACCCGGGAGGCGGAGCTTGCAGTGAGCTGAGATCCGGTCACTGCACTCCAGCCTAGGCGACAGAGCGAGACTCCGCCTCAAAAAAAAAAAAAAAAAAAAAGAGAGAGAGAAAATTCTCTTTATTATTTCTCCTTGTTTGCTTCCCAGATATGACACCGATTCCTAGTGGTCTTGCTCTCAGTGATACTGACAGCCATATTATTGGCCATCCATCCTTAGAATCTAAACTGTTGGACAATGATAATATGAAAAGGGAAAAGAACAGGGGAGATGGTGCCATTGCACTCCACTGTAGGGACAGTTGGGTCAGTTCTACTCATCTGGCTGAGGAGGCAGCTTTGATCACTTCAGCCTGGACACTGACAGCCTGCTGAATGGCTGGGCAGCACAGGGTGCAGTCAGGTTACAATGAACCTATTGTTCAAACAAGCCCCAGTCTGCGAATGGCCTATTGCCAGGCCAGTAGACACCAAACTTTGAGTCTTGCTGTCTGAGACTAGCAATGTCAGGTAGTCTCCTTCTCCGCTCAAAAAGGGATGGGAAGACGTTTCCTAGGTACGCCTTACAGGATGCTACTGGGGAGAAGAGATTTGGGGCACTTTGCTTTGAGCAGTGGTTCTCAAACTTGAGTATGCATTAGAATGATCTGGAAGACTGGTTCCAACTCCAGAGTTTCTGATGCAGGAGGTCTGGGCTAGGCTTGAGCCTCTGCATTTCTAACACGTTCCTAAGTGATGCTGAAGCTACTGGCCCAGGGACCACATTCTGGAACCACCGCCCTAGAGGACTTGTAGGGGTGTGGATGCTTTCTCATTCCAGGTGTGGTAGGGAGCAGATTTCGGCTGCTCAGAGGCTGAAGAGTTTGTTATTTGGAGAGCAGGTGACAATAGCAAATCTCTCAGAGACAGGGGCTGTAATTTAGCACTTGGCATGATGGCTTGCAAGCTGCTGGACAGAGCGGCAATCATGGACACAGCAGGCCACACCCCAGCTCTTGTGGCCACAAATGTGGCTGTGAAATGAGTTCTCGGTTCACCGTGGTATGAAGATGGCAGGAAGGATGCCTTGGAAATGTGTCAGATGCTCAGACTACGGCATCCATGGGAGAATTAGACTGAGGTTTGGTCTGAAAGTCTCAATTTCGAGGAGCAAGTTTTTACTCTGCATTTTAAAACACTGGGTTAAAAAAAAAAATCCAGGACTCAATCAGTAGCCAGATGGTATTCTGACGAAGAACACACAGGTTCCTCAGACCTGGGCAGAATCCAGGCTCTGCTATTCACTGGCTGTGTGTCATTGGCAAGTTATTAAACTTCTCAGAGCCTCAGTTTCATTATCCAGGCAATGGGGATAACAGTATCTGTCACACAGATTTATTGTGAGAATTAAATATGTAATCACAGTGCCTGGCACATGCTAAGCATGCAATAAGTGGTAGTTATTTCTTTCAGAAAAGAAGGAAGGCTTGGGTTGGGTGGGGGCCTCCTAACTCTTCCAGGTCACTTTCTAGAATTCTCGATAGAGGAAGAAGGCTGGAGTTTGAGTCCTGGCTCTCCTGGGACCTCTCCACTCCTCAGTTTCTTCGTCTGTATAAAATGTGAAAAATGATAACCTCTGAACTGTTGAATGAACTACCCATCTCATAGTTATTTTCACAAGATATAGTTTATTTGAGGAAACTTTCTAGAAATTTCTAGAAACTTAATCGCGGTATGAAAACCCAAGTTATTATGACTATAGTGTTTTCAATAAAACTCCGATGGTCTAGAAAGGTATGCTTTTTAGCTCCAAGGAAGTGTTGGCCATTCTGACATCATTCACAATAGTGGCCTCACTTTAAAACTGGAGCAGGGCCAGGCACGGTGGCTTACGCCTGTAATCCCAGCACTTTTGGGAGGCCGAGGTGGGCAGATCACCTGAGGTCAGGAGTTCGAGACCAGCCTGGCCAACATGGTGAAACCCTGTCTTTACTAAAAGCACAAAAATTAGCCGGGTGTGGTGGTGGGCATCTGTAATCCCAGCTACTCAGGAGGCTGAAGCAGGAGAATCGCTTAAACCTGGGAGGCGGAGGTCACAGTGAGCCGAGACCACGCCATTGCACTCCAGCCTGGGCAACAAGAGCGAAACTCTGTCTCAAAAACAAACAAACAAACAAACAAACAAACTAGAGAAAGCGGAAGCACCAGCCCTCTCTTCAGACTGCTCAGTTATGGCACCCAGCAGGCCACCTACTTTTCCCTGGATCACTACATGTAATGCTGCAGCCTGTCCCCAGGACATGTAACCTGTTTGCACTTGTGCAGTGGCACAGACTCCTGCAACACTCGGGACAGGTGACAGGGGAGCTCCCTGGCAATGTTCCTGTAGGACTCAGGGGCCTGGGAAAGAAGGAAATCAGGGTTCCATTTGCGATGATCAGCTGGGCAACAGGAAAGCTGGCTGCCACATGTGCTGGGTCACCTTGATGACTTGAAGTTGTTTGACACAACGGTTACACATCACCCAGGCCTCAGGGGCTCAGAGAACAGACCACTCATACCACAAAGAAGAAGGAAAACCACCGCCATGGTGCTAATAGAATGAAACCCACCTACCAAATGAATGGATGGACAAGCACACAAAAGAGAGAGCTC